AGCAGAAGCACAGAACCCAAGAATGGACTAACAGTTACCAAAGGGAAAGGGACTGGGGAGGATGGGTGGGAAGGGAGGGAGAAGGTGGGAGAAGAAGAAAGGGGGCCTTACGATTAGCATGTATAATGTGGAAGGAGGGGCACGGGGAGGACTGCAACACAGAGAAAACAAGTAGTGCTTTTACAGCATCTTACTACACTGATGGACAGTTACTAATGGGGTATGTGGGGAGTACTTGGTGAAGGGGGGAGTCTAGTAAACACAATGCTCCTCATGTAATTGTAGATTAATGATACCAAAAAACAAAATGAGTGCAATGTAGAAAAATTAAGCAATCTACAAAATAAGAAAACAGATGCCACAGACATTCCCACCCTCTAGACATAAACTCTGTTGATATTTTCATGTATGTACTTTGTGACTTATAAAAATGTGTCTGTATATACAGGAAAATACATACAGATACTTATTGTTTGAACAAAACAGATCATATTGTACATAATCTCTTGTAATCTATTTCTTACACTTAATACATTGTAGTAAAAAATAAAGAAATAAAGGCCGTATATGACAAACCCACAGTCAACATTATAGTTAACAGCAAGAGGCTGAAATCATTTCCTTTAAGATAGGGAAAAAGACAAGGATGCTCACTCTCCCCACTTTTATTCAACATAGCTCTGAAGGTCCTAGCCACAGCAATCACACAACACGAAGAAATACAAAAGGCATCCAGATTGGGAAGGAAGAAGTCAAACTGTCCCTGTTTGCAAAAGACATGATATTTTACATAAAAAACCATAAAGAATCCACTCTAAAACTACTAGATCTAATATCTGACTTCAGCAAAGTTGTAGGATATATTAATACACAGAAATCTGTTGCACTCCTATACACTAATGATGAACTAGAAAAATGAGAAATCAGGAAAACAATTCCATTCACAATTGCATCAAAAAGAATCAAATACCTAGGAATAAACCTAACCAAGGAAGTGAAAGACCTATACCCTGAAAACTGCAAGACACTCTTAAGAGAAATTAAAGAGGACACTAATAAATGGAAACTCATCCCATGCTCTTGGCTAGGAAGAATTAATATTGTCAAAATGGCTATCCTGCATAAAGCAATCTACAGATTCAATGCAATCCCTATCAAAATAGCAACAGCATTCTTCAATGAACTGGAACAAATAGTTCTAAAATTCGTATGAAACCACAAAAGACCCCAAATAGCCAAAGCAATCCTGAGAAGGAAGAATAAAGCAGGGGGAATAACGCTCTCTGACTTCAAGTTCTACTACAAAGCCACAGTAATCAAGACAATTTTGTACTGGGACAAGAACAGACCCATAGACCAGTGGAACAGAATGGAGAGTCTAGATAAAAACACAAACATATACGGTCAATTAATATATGATAAAGGACCCATGGATATACAATGGGGAAATGACAGCCTCTTCAACAGCTTGTGTTCGCAAAACTGGAGAGCTACATGTAAGAGAATGAAACTGGATCATTGTCTAACCCCATACACAAAAGTACACTCAAAATGGATCAAAGACCTGAATGTAAGTCATGAAATCATAAAACTCTTAGAAAAAAACATAGGCAAAAATCTCTTGGACATAAACATGAGCAACGTCTTCATGAACATATCTCCCTGGGCAAGGGAAACAGAAGTAAAAATGAACAAGTGGGACTATGCACCGTTGTATATATATGAAAATGTATGAACATGTACAAGAATGTTCACAGCAATATTACTGATAAGAGCTCAAAGTGGAAACAATCCAAACATATGACAGAAATAAATTGGACAAGTAAATGGTGATACATAATGTATAATTAAACATACAACAGAGTACTATACAGTAATAAAAATGTGATACTTTGACATACCACACAGGTGAAACTCACAAATAACAGTGAGCAAATAAAGCTACATACAAATAGGACGAACAAGTATTTGTTGAATAAACTTTTAGACAAGATTCAGATAAGCTCAGGGCTGTCATTTTTCTTTGTTTAGCAAAAGTTTTATTCACAGTCGGTACAAGTAAGAGTATAATGGAAATGTGTAAATTATTTAGGAGAACAAATTCCTTTCAAGCACCCTTAAGAACATTTATAAAACTCACTCATATACAATTGATTTGTTCCACTATTCACAATACACTGCTGGTTTGTCAACTTTTTTAAAAGACCCAGTTTGAATTAGAACTTCTACTTGATAGCTATAAACCTGTACTAAAAAAAAAGACTTTCTTCATTGATTATGGCTTTTCAAACAGTACCACAATTAAACAATTTTAGTTTTCAAATATGACCTAAATTCAGACTTATAAAAAACAGATTAAAAAAAATTTTTTTAAGACATAAAATACTTACATTAACTTTGAAAGCTTGTACATTGTTATCCAGAAGAAGGATGTTGCAAACCACCTCTGTATGCTGTCTGTCCCGGGCCAACTCTGATGCTCGTACATTGTAGGTTCTGCCAGCAGGCAATCGGAAATGTGAGGTCATTACTGTTCACACAAGATCTAAGTTGAAAAAAGAAAATTCACTATATAAAAGGATAGTTGAAGATACAAAGTACTTTAAAACACCAGAGTTATTATCTACTTTCAATTAACATTAAAAAGCAGTTATAAATTTTGAATTTGTAAGAATTACAGGTGTAAAAAAAGATAGCAATATAGCACATATAATTCATCACCTAAATTAAAATTACCAACCACATGGCAGAGGTGCTTTATATTTAATGGTTCCATTGAAAAGACAATATACAAATTGTTCCGGAAGTCATATTCCTATTCAAAATATGTAAATTTAGGAGTAGCCAAAAAGGGAGAAGGGATACCCTTTCATTTTAACTACCCTCAAATTCAAACTAATTCTAGCATGATTATTCTTAAAAAACAAAAACAAAATAGAAAACATACACTACTGATTTTTGCTTCTCAATTTTCAACCTAAGAGGGGAAAAAATACATTGCCTATGAAAGAACAGGTCACACTGTTAACAGCAACACATGATGTCAGAAGACACTGGAGGATGTAGCTTCAAAGTTCTGAAGGAAAATTATTTGAAACAGAAAATTACACACCCAAAATTTAGCATCATGTGGAAGAATAAAGCTAACATTTTCGAAAAGAGTCAAAGATTCAGTTGAAATCCATAAGACTTCCCTCTTAGAACCATTAGGTAACAAATGACATTTAAACAAGTATGTAGGATTTTTTTAATGAGGAAGCAATTAGTAAGAAATTTAACTAATGAGCAAAAAAATAAAGAGAAAGCAATTCAAATTGGTGGTATTCAATAACTGCAGCTGAAATCATAGACTGTTCATATCAAAAGGATTAAAGCTAAAAGTAAAAGTCAATGTTATATATGTATAACAATTGTATAGAGGAAAAACAGCTTTGGCAGTTGACAGAGAGGGGCTAGCCCACTAAGATTCACATAAAAGACAGTGACTAATGGTTTCCAGATCCACATGAAATCCTCACTCCATACTAATAAGTAAGAAATAGAACAGACTGGAGAATTAGCAACTCTCCCTGGATCCATAAGAGAGAGGACACAGGACAAAATTGTTAACCCCAAGTTTGGAGAGAGAAATAAATACAAAGAGTCCCAGCCTACCAGAACAGACTCCCAAACAGAAACCCTCTTAATGCGGACAATTCCAAGAGTTAAAATCTTCAGGGGGGTCCCACAACATTGTGAGATTTATCTGCAGGAGCTCAACTAGATTCTCACAGTAAATATCACAGAGCAACATGGTTGGGCATCCCATGGGGTTGCCAGAACCACTATGAAATACACCAGAGCAAGATGTTCTTAACAAAGGTTGCCCTCATGAGAAATTATGTTAACCAGAATTTAACTGCCCTGGGGCAAGGAAAATACTCAATTCTTGCTGACTCCAGCCTCCCAATGAGAGAAGGGAAATACTCGACTCTAGCCCATTCGAGCCAACTGTCCCACCTAAATGGGGAGAAAAAACTGAGAAACACTTGTTACATTCATAGTCCAGAGCCACAGGCTCGCTTAAAACACTGAGACTTAACCATAGACTGCAGAATGCTTCCCTTTCCCAGTATCACTAAAGGCCCATTTAAAGCAGTTCCTCTTACCAGTATCTCATGTCTACCTATCAGGAAATATTTAGTGTAAACCAGAAGGCAAAAAACACGATTTGAAAAGACACAACAAGCATTAGAACCAGACACAAAAAGAATTACCACACAGGCAATTTAAAACAACTATGACTAATATGCTAAGGTCCCTAATGGATAATGTAGACAGCATGCAACAACAGATAGGCAATGTAAGCAGAGATGGAAATCCTAAGAACTGAAAAGAAATGTTACAGGTAAAAAAACACTGTAATGGATATGAAAAATACCTCTGATAGGCTTTTTAGTAGGTGGACACAGCAGAGGCCAGAATCTCTGAGCTAAAGGATCTATAAATAGAATCCTCAAAAACTGAAAAGCAAAAAGAACAAAGACTGAAAAAACAGAACAGAACATCCAAGAGCTATGGGACAAATACAAAAGGTGTAAAATTCATCTGATGGGCATACCAGGGAAAGAGATATTGGAAAAATATTTGAAACAATAATGACTGAGAATCTTCCCAAATTAATCTCAGATATCAAACCACAGACCCAGGTAGCTCACACAACATTAAGAAGGAAAAATGCTAAAAATCAAACATAGAAACTACACCTAGGCATATCATTTTACAACTAAGAAAATCAAAGATAAGGAAAAAAATCCTGAAAGAAGCCAGAGGAAAAAACACCTTACCTATAACAGAGCAAATGTAAGAATTACATATGACTTCTGAACCATGCAAAAAAGAGAATGCAATGAGCAATTCAAAATGTTGAGGAAAAAACCCACCAACCTAGAACTCTGTATCCTGTAATATTATCTTTCAAAAGAGAGAAATAAAGATCAAAGAAAAGAGGCAAGGGAACTTGTTGCCCATAGATTCACTTTGCAAGATATGCTAAAGCAAGTTCTTTAGAGAAGGAAAATAATTTAGATCAAACTCAGATCTGCATAAAGTAAGAAAGAACATCAAAGAGGGAATAAGCAGAGGTAAATTTAAAACTTTTTCTTATTCTTAACTGATTGAACAGATAACAGTACAATACTCTCCACTTGAGTATGGGAAGGACTTAGGGAATTTGACGGGATTTTCCTTCCAAATTAGATAGTCAGAGATTTTACAGATGTGATTAAAGTTCCAAATCAGTTGAGTTAATCTAAAGAGATTGCTCTTGGTTGACCAGATTTTACCAGGTGAAAGTCCTTAAAAGAAAGACTGAGACATTCCTGGAGTGAAAGAAGTTCTGCTATTGGCTCTGAAGGCATAATCTGTCATGTCGTGAGAAGGCCTATGACAAGGCCATGTGGCAAGAAAGTTCAGGGGCCTCTAGGAGTCAGCGAGGAACTAAAATCCTCAGCCCTACAGTTGACTGTGTTCGTCAACAATCACGTAAGCTTGGAAGAGAACCCCCAAGCTCCCAAACTCCAATCAACACCTAGGCTGCAACTTTATGAAAACCAACCAAGCTGTGCCCATACCCCTAACTCACAGAAACTAGGAGAAAATAAAAGTATGTTGTTTTAAGCTGCTACATTTCTGGTAATTCATTACACTCCAATGGGAAACTAATCCATCTTTCATAATGGTACTACTCAACCAACAAACATTCACAAGATACAGAAAATATACAATACAAAAGATGAAGCATGATCTCTTTGTGCATGTTCCACTCTTGTCTATAATGGATTTATACTTCCCTTCTTCCTGACTCTGCCTTCCCTTCACTTGGGGGTGAGTGGTCCAGCCGAAGACATAAGGAAATACAGGAATAATAGCAGAATTCAGAAATTAATTTTAACAGCTACCAAAAAAAGAACACCTGCCAATGTTACAAAATATCACAATGACAAAGAATGGTACAGGAATGACAAGATCAAAAGGTATAAATATATTTGTGCCAACAATAGTCCTTCCCATTTACTACTACACATTTGTGTTTGACCCTGGATTGTTTCAATGAAATTTCCATGTAAAATCACCCAGATACTTCCATAGTCTTGAAAAGTATCTACCTTTTAAATACACATAACTTGACAAACGGCACAATTATGCCATTGACAACCTAAATGCCCATAGACAATAAGAAATAAGCCAAATAAGCCTCCTCAGAATTTCTATTACATCTTGAAAAAACATTTCAAAAAGGTTATGAGCATCTTAATATGTGACCTCAGGCTGGCAGATGAGAGTGTCTGCTTTTCTCAGAAGACACCTCTTCATAAAAAACTATAAGCTTTTTCTATTCACTTATGAAAGCAAGTCCTTCTTTTAGAAATGCTAAGAGAATGTAATTATAGTCTCAGTTCAGCAAAATATCAAACGTTTCTAGGGGGCTTTACTGATCATCCTCCATCCTACATATAAACTTTCATAAAGTCATCAAAGGAGACTATACACATAAAGACTAAGAATTCTTTAATTAGTTATTGCCTTCCTGACTAATCACTAAAATCAGATTTATGTTATCTCAGACAACTCTCTAACTGGTATCCAGAGAATGTTAATGAGACTATTGTGCTTTAAATATTATAGTTTTATTGTAAACATTATGTACAAAGTGCAAATAGATTATTTTGAAAACCAATTAACATTAAGCAAGTATTTTATTGGGTATTACTCCCATTTTTAGCAAAAACAACACATTCAGTAGTCTTTCCATGGGTATGAAGTTATTAGGAAAACCGAGTCACACATTTTTTAAAGACTAACCAATTCTATTCTTAGACAACATTCTCAGATAAGCCCATCCTGAAAGTAGTCAATCTATTTGATTCCATGTTTAAACAGATTTAGCAGATTATAAATGGAAGGTTAAAACCCACTGTTCTTTACAGACCAGGGAAACCTAAACTTGACTATCCAAAGTATGGAATATTCAAACAAAAAGAACTAGTAATAAGACAGCAGGACATTATAATTAACATACGTAAATGTTTTTTAACAGAATAAAACAAACCAAACCCTCTATCCTCAAATTCTCATGTTCCTTATATTTATATAAAAATTATTTTTAAAAATTTTAAATCACACTATCTACAGTTAAAAGAACATATGGGATGTGAACAGATCCCAGAAATGGGTTGCTTTAATTTGTCTGATTTCTCTCAGACTGTTCAAGTACAGTTGGACAATATCCATCATATCATAGACAAATTTTCACAAATGCCTAGGGTGCCTAAATGGTTTTCTTGGCTTCACTGGAGATGGATGGTAATTATAGATTTGCTTTGTTTATGTCACCGTATTCCTATTATGTTAATATGTGAGCACAAGTTAGTTGGTAGTTTAAAACCTATACATGCTTAAGGTACTCTACAAGAA